ATTGAGATAATTCGAAATTAAATTAAATACTACTATATATTCCACACTGCGCTAAAGCTCTGCGCATGGCGCTGATGCAAGGATAACAAATAACACAATAAGAAGTAAAACAGAAGGGTATTAAATCTTTTAATTAGAAATAAATTACAAAATCGATAACATGGCTTAAATGACAAATATTCAATTTCAATTTATTCACATTTATTAAAAACATTATGAATTAACAAGTAAGAGGTAAGGACTTCTTAATGTTAAGAGTACAAGCAGCTTAGCCTTTTCTACTTTACTAAACAAAAAGGAGAAATAAAAATGGTTAACAACAATCGACAGTGTAAAGCGGAAAAAATTAAGCTTAATAACTTACAAGTTTTTTAATATTTATAAATTATATATTATTTAAATGCAAGTATGTATGATGAGTACATACATCTATTATTGAATCTAACGTTTAGGCGAGCAATCCTTTCTGCAACTAATTCAACGTTTACTATTCTTAAATGGTACAGAAATTAGATTAATATACTGTTTTATTTGTTTATTTATTTATTTATTTATTTATGAGTAGGAACTGCAAAGGCCTTGTCAGACTGATGATATAACAAGGGAATTATTTGATGAAATCAAGTGGTAAATTATAGGAGTATACTGATCTTAATTCTAAGTCTCTAAGTCTGCCGCTTTTAAAATTAGTTATTATTGTTGTAGATATAATATAGACGGAAGGAAGCTGACTGCTGGAATCCAGTGTATGCTTCTGGATAGGGCCGGGTAGGCGTAGAAAAAGTGGGTCACCGTTTTCTCCTCTTCATCATCATGAATGCTCCGACAAAAATCCGTTGTAGGGAACCTGTAGTATCTGCTTAGCTTGCAGAGCTCGATGGCCCAGATTTGATTTGCAGCAATCTCAAGGTGGTTAAAAGCTACTACTCTTTTTTGCACTGATCAGACGATGTATTACAAGTGCCTGAAATATAAAATATAAATACATATACAAAAGGAAGTACAATGTAGTGCTTCGACCAAACGTTCTATTAGAACTAAGAATAAAAGAATAGTTATAGATAAGTGAAAAGCATCGCCTGATGCTTATTTCTAATTTTACCCGGTGTTACAATAATTATGTTACAAGTATATATTGTCATGTAACGTTTATTATAAGATCAGCCATTCTGAAAGTAAATAAAAATGGGGAATTGCAAAAAGAAAACTACGTCCTCCTGGTAAGCCTAGAAGCTGAGCATAGCTTGAATCCTTATTTCTGCTGTTCATAGCACACATTAAAGCTTGTTTATGTATGTATAACACCAAGATTTTGAATTCTCTAAAAATTCGGAAAACAGTTGTTGAGGCCTTTAGTTAGTTGAATAAAAAATGACTTTTATTGCTTTGTACAAAATATTAGTTTAATATTCGCCTTGTAGCTGCATGTTGTTTTCAAATAAAAAACGAATTTAATTGATTGTCATTTGATTTCTATTAAAAACTTTTCCTTTAAGCATTTTTAAGAAATTAAAGGAAATTCATGTAGGACCATTAAAGTCTTTTTTATGTCCATTCTATCTAAGAGCGTTGCTATATAGTATTTAAGTGTAGACTTTCGCCATTAAATCGAAATATTTGAGAACTCTTGAAATACATCCCAGACACTCGCATTAGATACGTCATTTCTTGTTTGTGGCGCTATGCGAGTCCCACTCGAATCGAAATGCACGTCACTTGTTCACAACTTGCCGTGGAACAGCGCATTGACAGCCCAAGGCTATGGAAAATGTTCTTTGAGGTGACACCAAGCCAAGTCAGCGCAGGCACGTACAAGTAACTGCCAAGATGCTGCAGTTGCTGACACAAATCCAGCAGCACCGCCACCGCCACCGCCACATCCAGCACCACAACTACAATAATAATAGCAACCACAACTACAATAATGCCAAATGCATGTTGCTTACAACTAAAGTAAATTTTATTTAAAGCTTCACAACTGCTTAAAATTTGCTTATCACTTGGCTCTGCTCAGCAGCTTGAGATTCAGATTCAGTTGCAGCCCCTTTGGTCTCTGTATTTGCCAACCACTCGTCCTGACTTCCGTACAATTATGTCACACAGAGTGTTTGCTATGCATATAAAGCAGACTAACAACAACAACAACAGCAACAACAACAAGTTAAACACTTTATTTATTTTGCTTCGCTGCATGCGCAGCGGATGTGAGTCGTTTGTCTTGAAAGTTTTCACATTAAACGAGCAGGGAGTTTTCCAACTACAATGGAGATGTGTGAGTATGGCCAACAACAAAAACTATACTCGTACATTGTATATATGGCGGCTATAATGGAAGGCAACTAGGCACAAGGGCAGAAGGGCAGAAGGGCAGGTGGGGTAGGTGGGTGGGCCAGCCGGCTGATGCAACTGCAAAGAACCAGTTGAATGGGCAACAGTTGGCCATGTCGTTCAAGTGGATGCCACTGGACGATAACAGGCGCCATACCGAGCAGCCAGCCCCAAGTTGGCCAAAGAGCGAGTACTGGCATTTAAGAACTTTTCAAATGTGGCCATGTGCTCATAACTGGCTTTGATTCGCTGTGTGTGTGTGTGTGTGTGTGTGTGTGTGTGTGTGTGTGTCCGTGTTTGAACACTAACTATACACAGGGGAGACCATTCTGGATGACTGAGCCCTTTAATATAAAGGTAAGTATATTGCGCTTTGTTCTTCATTGCCAAAAGTTCAACAGTCCTCAATTCTTATCGTACCAACTACACTTTTACTATAGACTAAGAAAAAAATGGCCTTTGGAAATTGAGGCCGGAAAATATTGAATTAAATATTGACATTGCTACAATTTCATTAAAAATAAGAGAGGAAGCTGGACAGTGAAACTCCCTGCACACAAACAAACTGAGTTATATACATATGAGCCCATAGTTGAAGCAAAAAGAAGAAGAAAAAAAAAAGAAAAGGGAACCCGCTCCTGCAGTTTGTGGGCATAGTACTGGAATGCAATTGTTTCGCTAATAATGTTTCATAGAGTCAATGAATGAAAACAAATGTAAATAATCACATATTAAATATTAAATAAAGTAAGGGCATAGCTTGTCGGACTGGCCAATAAATATACCCCCACCGAGTCAGTGATTATCCACTTTTTAGACTTAATTAAATTTTTTTTTTATTAAGTATTTTTATTTTAATTTATTATTTCAAAATAATCTTACTTTTTATTTACTTTTTATTAGCATTTCTTAGTATCCCTTTTTATGTTATTAGGTCTAAAACCCTCTCTGGCTACACTCCCCCGTGAATCGGCGCATAGCTGGGAGTAAATAAAATTCTCCCACCGTGTCGGATTCGATATTAGACATTCTTCTAATTCCTAAAGGCTTTTTTATTCTTTAGTTGTACTTAGTTAAAGCTCTCTATTGTATGGACTTTTTACATTGACAGCTTTGTTTGTCATTGAAATAAATAAAATGTTTGGTCTATTTAGCCTTTTCGAAATGTTGACAAAATTCTGAAATTAATTTTCCAAACTCTTTTCTTACTATATGAGAACGTTTTCTGCTATTTATAGCTTAGCTCAATATTTAAATAAAATGAGAAATATATGATTTAAAACACTTACTTGCAACCTACATACTTCGTTTCATTTAGATTTGGATATTTGGCTCCGACTCACCGCTGTTGATAAAACATGGATTCACCATTATAAAGCGCCATCTCATATATTAGCAGTTGCCATGGAAATATTCAAAAGTTACGCTTTGAACTGCTCCAGCACCATCCTCACTCTCTAGACCTAGCTCTTAGTGACTCATTTTTATTCCATAAGATACAAGTTACGCTTGGGGGACAGAAACATTCATCAAATTATTTTGAGATTCTGGACGGCGACTAAATTCCGGATGGATTGAAGGGGTGGAACCATCGCTGAGAGAAGTGTATTGAGTTAGACGGATACTATGTTGAAAAAATTTAAATGCTTAAAACTGTTGCACCACTGTCAGGTTAGAAACACTCCGGACAGCCCTCGTAAACACAATGAAAAAGTGGTTATACAAAGCAAATTAAATGGATGTCCGAAGTACTGAGTTATCCTTACTATCGATATGGCACTGTACATAGAATGTTTGGCACACATTGCTGTCGCCAACAGTCTAACCATTTTGTTTGGCATTCGAACTTACCACCACTTTAAAGGCCTAAAGCGCCTCTTGACTTTTTAGTCCTTAATACTCGTATTTGAGGCAGAAATAGATCAAAAGTCGGTCACAGAGAGAGCCGACTCGACCCTGAGAATATAAACACACATACACGCACATAATCGTAAAGAGAAGAAGTTGGTTATACATTTTGGGTGTTAGGACATTTTTATTGGTCATTAGTGCGAGCCTCTATCGGCATTCGTAAGCATTTACACATCGTTAAACTTTCATTTCCGGCCAATTAAGCGCATTTTATGTACCTTCAACCCATCCAACAAAGCAGACCCACACAGACACTCACACAAATAAGGCCTAACCTACATACACGCGTACATTCAAACCAGCAACGTTGGCTAACCTCAGCAGTCAGGAGTCAGGAGTCAGCAGCAGCAGTCAGGAGTCAGCAGTCAGGAGCAAGCAGTGAGTGGTCAGCCATTTGACCAAGTCATCGTCATGGCCGTCGTGAACGTTCTGGTTGTCAGCAAAATGTTTTGTCGCCTTTCACAGGAAAATGACCACAACAGGAGACCTGAGGCCACACGCTGCTCGGGTCTTTTATGGTACGGCGATGATGGTGATGGGTGCCTGGAATGTTTGCTTTTGTGCGACGCTTCGTAGGCAGACTGGACATATTTAATGGTCACAATACAAATAAGAACTGGGCGGGCGTTTCTTTGCAACTCACTTTTGTTTACTTTTCAATCAAAAGTCAATAGCAAGAAGTTAACGCCAAGGGCTAGACGATTGTATATAAGAAAGGCGCAGGCAGGCATGGCAAAGCATTTCAGTATTGTTCCGCAATCATGGCATTCTGGGCTGCCACTCGCGGTCTGACACCACCCTCGAAGGTTCCGCCCATGCTGAATCCCAATCAACGTCAATTTCTCGAGGATGAGCTGCGCTTTCGTAACAAAATGCAGTTGCTCGCCGGCGAACCGATTCACAACCTGGACGATGTTTATGTGCGCAAAGCGGAAGCAGTTGATGATCCCAACGAGTTGGATAAACACGACTCCTTCTATCACACAACCAAAAGTCTGTTGGTGCTCTTTCAAATCATGGGCGTCATGCCCATACATCGCAATCCGCCGATAGACAACATGCCACGCACTGGCTACTCCTGGCTGTCGAAGCAGGTCCTCTGGGCGGTCTCCATCTATACGTGTCAGACCACCATTGTGGTGTTGGTGCTCCGCGAGCGTGTAAAAAAGTTCATCAACAGTCCCGACAAGCGTTTCGATGAGGCCATCTACAATGTCATTTTCATTAGCTTGCTGTTCACAAATTTTCTGCTGCCCATCGCTAGCTGGCGACATGGACCCCAAGTGGCTATTTTCAAGAACATGTGGACGAACTATCAATACAAATTCTTCAAGACCACCGGTTCGCCCATTGTGTTTCCCAATCTCTATGTGCTGACCTATAACCTGTGCATATTCTCCTGGCTACTCAGCATCGCCATCAACTTGTCGCAGTACTTTCTGCAGCCGGACTTCAAGTTGTGGTACACCTTTGCCTACTATCCCATCATTGCAATGCTCAATTGTTTCTGCAGCCTGTGGTACATCAATTGTAATGCCTTTGGCACGGCCAGTCGCGCCCTTGCTGATGCTCTGGAGACCACAATTCAGGGAAGTAAGCCGGCGCACAAACTAACCGAATACCGACACCTCTGGGTCGACTTGAGTCACATGATGCAGCAGCTGGGACGCGCCTATTCGAATATGTATGGCATGTATTGTCTCGTCATCTTCTTCACCACCATCATTGCTACCTATGGCTCGATCAGTGAGATCATCGATCATGGCGCCACCTACAAGGAAGTGGGTCTCTTTGTCATCGTGTTCTACTGCATGGGACTGCTCTACATTATTTGCAATGAGGCGCACTATGCTTCGCGCAAGGTCGGCTTGGATTTTCAAACGAAACTGCTCAACATTAATCTCACGGCTGTGGACAATGCCACACAGAAGGAGGTGGAAATGTTTTTGGTGGCCATAGCAAAGAATCCACCCATCATGAATCTGGATGGTTATGCAAATATTAATCGTGAGCTGCTCACTTCAAACATATCGTTCATGGCTACCTATTTAGTGGTGCTCTTGCAATTCAAGATTACTGAGCAAAGGCACTCCAATCACGCGCAATAGGTTTGCATTTTTCACTTTTTAGCTGATTATACCCTGTACCCGTAGGGTAAAAAGGGTATATTAGGTTTGTGCAAAGTATGTAACATACAGAAGGAAGCATCTCCGACCCCATAAAGTATATATATTCTTGATCAGCATGACGAGAGAAATCGATCTAGACATGTCCGTCCGTCTGTCCGTCTGTCCGTCCGTCTGTCCGTCCGTCTGTCCGTCTGGATGAACGCGAGGATCTCAGAAACTATAAAAGCTAGAATAACCAAAGTTGGCATCCAGATTCTCCTAGATCCGAGTAAGGACGAGTTTATTTTTTTTTTTTTAATTTTCCCCCCCTTCCCCCGCTGCAGAATTTCGTCAATAGCGTCCACATTTCAAATGCTACCTAAACCAAACTTTGCACACATAATTTATATATAATTGTCTACTGTTGTGGAAAATTTTATTCAATTCGGTCAATTCTAAGAAAAGTTATTAGCGAAACAAATTCTCGCCAGTACAACCCTCACAAACTGCAGCAACAAGTTCGCTCTTCTTCTTCCTCTTTTTGCTGCTGCTATGGGCGCATATAACTCAGTGACGGAAGTTTACCTGGGTACAGGGTATTACACTGTCGGGCTTGCTCGACTGTAGCGTTCTCTCTTGTTTTATTAAGCTAGAATGGGGAATAATATGTGGGAGGTCTGGGAACAGTGCAGACCAACATTTGAATTATAAATATAATATAATTCTTGAATAAACTGATTTAGAACATATATTTCGAACTCTTTTTATTTTCTACTTTTCTACTGTTTAATTGCTTATTAATTTTTTAATAAGCAACCTTCAGTCAACATAAAAATTAAGCTAAATAGAGCTAAATAGTGTTGCGCCCCTGCACAATAAATTTAATTAGTTAGCTTTTCTCCAATTCCCAGCAGGTAGAACAGTAACAATATATATACTGAAAATATACTGAAATACCTTAAATACATAGTTACATAGCTTACTATCTGTAAGATTCGATATTTCCAAAAATTAGTGTCAAAAAGTCACAGTTATCTGGAAGGGCATTACATAATTGAGCACATTTTATAGCTTTTAAGAACTACTTGCAGATATAAGTAGAAATATCAATCGTCAACATGGAAATAAGACCTTAAAGTAAAAAATAGGAGATAAACAACAAACCAATACGGGATAGGTTGTGGCGTTCACAATCCTACAAACAGCGGTTTTGATTCTTTTATAAACATAAGAAGTAGATCTCTAAATATTTATCATTGTATACGAGTATCAACAAAAATTAACTACTCTGCCCATGACACTTTTAAATTTTCAAAAAAATATTTTAAAACATTTTCCAAATTGTACGTGACTGATCAGTATTTAAAATTCTTCATGGACCTAACTATTTCATCACCTATTTCATCATGTGCAACAGACCCACACAGAAATATAGCGAAAACACCTACCTTGGCCTCGATCTGGGCAGCCAAAAACTGAAGGCTGTAATCCTGAACTCGAAGCTGGAGATCATATTTTCAACCCAAGTACATTTTGACGTTGATTTTCCGGAGTATGGGACCACAGGTGGTGCCAAGCAGGGCGACAATCCAGACGAGTATCTGGTAAATCCCACTATGTGGGTAAAGGCACTGCATGTTGTCTTCAGTACGCTCCATTCGCAAGGCGCCGATTTGCACAGTGTAGCCGCCATTAGTGGCTCGGCGCAACAACATGGCTCGGTCTTTTGGTCAGAAGATGGTTTCAAGCGCCTGTGCGGCCTCAATTGTCTATTCAAGCTGCACGAGCAACTCAATGAGTACGCCTTCAGTGTACTGCAGTCGCCCATGTGGATGGATGGGTCCACAGGACAACAGTGCTCGGAAATGGAACGAACAATTGGTGGTGCTCTTGAAATGTCTGCCATTACCGGCTCCAAGTGCTATGCACGCTTTACAGGCCCACAAATCAGAAAGATCTATCAGACCCAACCGGAAAAATATGAAAACACGGTTCGCATATCACTTGTGAGCAGCTTTCTCACATCTGTCCTGCTGGGCACTGTGGCCGCCATCGACTTTTCCGATGGCTCCGGAATGAATCTGCTAGATATACGTAAGAAGAAGTGGTCCAGTGAATGTTTGGATGCCTGTGCGCCTGATCTGGCGCGACGCTTGATGAAACCCATCGCACCCAATCGGCTGCAAGGTCGCGTGGCCAAGTATTTTGTGGAGCGTTGGAACTTCAGGCCCGATTGCATGGTCCTCAGCTGTACTGGCGACAATCCCTCTTCCCTGGCCGGCATGCTGCTGGAGAAGAACAGTCTTATATTGTCGCTAGGCACTAGCGATACCATAATTATGCATCTGAAGCATGCGCCCAAGCTGGAAGAGGGCCATGTACTCTGTCATCCCACAATTGTGGATGAGTACATGGGTTTGCTTTGCTTCCGGAATGGCTCGCTGGTGCGCCAGACCGTCTGTCAAGAAGTAGCCAATGGAAGCTGGAATACTTTCAATCATATGTTGGAAACCACTCCAATGGGCAACTACGGAAACATTGCGGTGCATTTTCATGACAGGGAAATCATTCCACTGGCAAAAGGGATATTGAAGTGGAATAAAGACACCGATCCGTCATCGAAGCAGTCACGGTTGGGCTTGAAGCAATTCGAGGAGCCAGCCTGGGAGGCGCGTGCTGTGGTCGAAGGTCAAATGATGCACCATCGCATTATTGCCTCCGAAATGGGTTTCCATTTTGACTCTGATACCAAAATCATAGTTATCGGTGGCGCATCGAAAAATCGTCATATACTGCAAATTGTCGCCGATGTTTTCAATGCCTCTGTCTACGAGACATCCAATGCTGAGATGGCGCTCTTGGGCGCTGCTTACAGAGCACGATATGCATTCTACGAGTATCGTGAAGCCAATTGCAGCTGCCGCCGTTGCAAGATGCCAAAAGGCCGGCGTCCCAAGCTAAGCTATACCGAGTTTTTCCGGCAGGCGCTGCCCAATACGCTCAAGTTGGTGGCCAGTCCGACACCTGGCTGCGAGGTCTACGAACCACTTCTGCCAAGGTACGAGAAAATGACCTATATTCTTGCTGCGCGCACAGCATTTTCGGATTATCAGATTGTAACAGCTTCATAATAAATTGGAAGTTGGCGTTTTAAAAAAATCTAACGTTTAATAGACTAAACTTTAATAATTAAAAAAAAAAAAGAATTGCTTGACGGGCTAATGGAAGAATTGAAACGGATTACGGTAGTGGGTGGCCAAATATTTAGCGACAGCTGAACAGGTTGGCAGTCCAGACAATCGATAGCATATTGTTTCACTTTCGATATCATTAAAGAACTAAAAATACAACCCTGTTACTAAGCAGCTTTCAGGTGTGCGTTCCCTACACATTTGTTTTCAAACCGCAGAAGGAAAGCATTTATATCAAGCAAAACAACATTTGGGGAGATGCATTGAAAACATCAAATTAAATCAAAAGCTTTACAAAAATGTATTTCACATTTGTATTCAAGCAGAATTAGGCCGGATTAAGCCGGATTTTAATTGATTAACGACTTAACAACACAATCGAGAGCAGAGAACTTAAATTTAAAAAAAAAAAAAAACACCGATATGCTTAAGATTGTAAAAGCAATTGCGTATTCTGCAGAATTTTGTAACTATGTATAGATCGTTCTGGCACAAAATTTTGAAATACAGTGACAAAATCTACCGAGTCCGCATCCTCAAATGACAGAGAAAATGGCATACTAAGTATATGTATGTATACCAATAATAAAAGAAATTATGAATAAAGGAAAGCAATAATCTATTGAGGTGGGTCATGTGGTCATGTGATGTTAGCTTCGATTCAGCGACTTCACAGCTTCAGTTATTTAACAAATTTAAAATATCCATTTATTTAATTTGTTATAGCTCATTCCCATATTTCTAAACTAAGCACTTGGTTCTGCTCGAGAAGGAAGCCCAAACAAAGCACAGTCCTAAAAAATTTCTTACACAATATAAATAGCATTTGAAGGTTGTGTGCCAGCCAGTTAAATAAATAAATAATAGAAAATTTGATAATATGTAAACCTTTTTTGCACTAAACGCTCAATACAAATAAAATGCAGACTAGACTGAACTACTTAATAAACATATCCTAAAAGTCGGCATCCCAGCCGGATTGCTCGTCTGGCGGCTCATTGGGATCGCAGGGGAACTTGTCAAAGTACCGAACATCCGTGGGATGAGCAATGGGTCGCACAAAGGGTGGTATCAGCAACTGACTGGCCAGTCCATCCCAATCAAAACCCAGGAACCATCTGAAAGGGAGAAAGAAGTATGTATATTGGATGATCTATGAAAATTGTGGGACCGCCAACTCACTTATGCTTTTTGATGTCTTGAATTCCACCCGCCTGATAGCCCAAACGTTCTGAGGGCACATCCCGACACAATCGCTTGATGAGATGCACAGCCCAGCGCGAGATGTGTTTGGGAAATGTGATCATGTCTATGCCCTTGAGAATTATATTGTAGGTCTGCATGGGATCCGGTGCACCGAAAGGAGGACTGAAAATGTTGAAAATAGTTAACGCTACTAGATATATTAAATCCAAGCACTTACGTTCCATTCAGCAGCTCATGCACCAGCACGCCCAATGCCCAATAGTCCACGGCACGATCGTGTCCTTTGTTTAGGATAATTTCTGGTGCCACATACTCTGGAGTGCCGCAGAAGGTCCAAGTCTTCGCACTATTGCCAATATATTTGGAGAAGCCAAAGTCCACCAATTTAACATAGCCGCGCTCGTCCAGCATCAGATTCTCCGGCTTCAAGTCCCTATAGATAATGCCACGAGAGTGTAAATACTCGAAGGCCTGGAGCACGCAGCCCGCAATAAACTGCGCCGAATTGTCATCGAAGGATCCGTGATCGCGCAGCATCGTCCAGATTTCGCCACCCATGCAAGCCTCCAGCAGCATGTAGACGTACTTCTCATCGCGAAAAGTGCGATACAGCCGACAAATGAAGGGGGAATCACAGCTAAGCATAATTGTGCGCTCGCTGAAGATGTGATCCTCCTGCTTGGTGTCCACAATGTGTCGCTTCTTCAGGCACTTTAGCGCAAAAGTGTCCACGCGATTCTCGTGATATGCCTTTACCAATTCAACGCGTCCAAAGCCGCCCACACCCAGAGTGCTCACCACTTCTAGATCGGTTAGTTTCAAGTTCGGAAAATGCTGCTGCACATGCGCACCAAATAGTTCCGATTGCGCAGTCTTCTCTGCCTGCTTCATGGCCAGTATGCGGCTCTCATCGCCATAGTCCTTCTCCTTGAACTCACACAAGTCTCCAATCAATCTTTTAAATGACTCACGATCCAGCGTCAGGCACTCTACCCCCGGCGGCAATGCAATAATGTTCGCTGTGCGTCGATCCTCATTGATCAGTGCTTGCTCGCCAAAATAGTCTCCGCGCTCCAGTGTTCGCAGCTCCGTCTCCTCCAGGGCTGCTGGTGTCAGCTTCTGTGTCACACGCACATTGCCCTGCGAGATCAGAAAGAATGTGTCTCCGGCCGCGCCCTGTCGTATGATATAAGTGCCGGCGGCATAGAATTCCAGCTCCAGGACATCGGCGATTTTGGTAATCAACTCCTCGCTCAGATTGCGCAAGAGGGGCACAGACTTTAAAAAATGCACGCTGTTCTCCAAACGCTGCAGGCCACTGCGCGTCATAATCTGCTGATAGACCCGTCTATCCAGGACCCAGACACGTGCGTCGCTCACCACACGTATGGAGGCGGTGCGTGTACAGTTGTAGAGAATGGCGAGTTCGCCGAAGGCCTTGCCTGGCCCCATTTTGTGCAACACCTTGCCCTGCTGGACGACCTCGAACTCGCCCGAGGCGGACACATACAAATGGGCGCCCACCTCGCCCTCTCGAATCACAAACTCGCCCTTGCCAATGCTCAGCGGATACATCGAGTCGACTAGCTGGCGCACCTGTGAGGCATCGATATTCTTCAAAAAGTCATTGTCCATGATGGCGTCTTTGATTTGCTGCTTCGCACTGTGGATCACAAGGTTCAACGTTTACATACAATCCTTTCAAAGCCTTGACATGTGACTTACCTGTAATCCTTTTCATATTTGGGAATGGGCTCACTGTGCGTCTGCTGCTTAGACTGCACGCTGCTCTCGGCCGAGACACCCTGCTTCTTAATAACAGTTGCCGGCAGTGGCTTGGGCCGCTCATCAATTGTTGTCAGCGGCTGGTTTTCCTTGCTGTTGGCGCCGCACACTCCGCACCCGGACTCCCCGCTGCTCGTCACTTCCGCACATTGTTCGGGTTGCTGATGTTGCTTTTTGTTTGGCTTCAACTCATTGTGGTTACGGCTATGATTGTGGTGCGAGCCAGCCGTTTGCTGCAAAACGCTCTGCAAAAATCAATTGAAGATATTGGACATTGATATCAAAGGAAAGTGTAGAGAAAATGCAGACTGCTTTTCATTCTGTGCAAAACTTGTTTAAATTGGAAATGGGTGACACCAGCTTGACTCGATATGGGGAGCACTGTTTCTGGGCTTATCACGCAAACTTCTAGCGGGCATATAGTATGCCTATAATATACCGATTCTATCGCTAGCTTACACTCGCAATAGGTAGCACTAAATTGATTTTGATGGCTTTATTAATTGCTTTCTTCTATTCTTTTCATGGCAGATCCTAAAACCTATAAATCTAATTTGTACCTTAAATTAGTTAGTTGTTTTGCTCAGTGAACCTCATAAAAATAAAATTGAAGCGTTTAAAATAAAATGCTTTTAATAATTCGATCCGCAAATAAAACCATAAATAAGACTAAATTCCTAGTTTAAGTTTTATTTGTGTTTAGCGAGAAGTTTAATTTAAATTATTGAAATAACAGTATAATTAAAACGTATATATTAGAAGGAATAAAAGCAAACAATAGCGAGAAAAAGCCTACTCTTCTGTTCAGAAAACTGTCCCTTAATGTAATATTTACTTATGTAATTTGCAAAGTAAATAAATATGTGCAATAAATATAATATTTCTGAATACTCGTACATTAACAAAAAATATTATAATTGAAAAAAGCCAGCTGGAAAGGAAAGCAACTAACCTTATCTTCCAAACCTATTTAGCTGTAAAGCCAAGTAATACCTTTTTTGAATCCTATCTTATAACTCACATACACAAATACTTCCCCTTGATCTACTATAACCTGTTAGATACCTATATATATCATTCGATTTTTTTAATCTTGATACCAATCAATCGAAAATACATTATTCAATGAAACTATTTGCTTAACAACTTTTCTCAATACTTTATTTATGTTCTATACGTTAAGAGGCATGTTTTCTGATATACATTTTGAACAGATTTCTTGCAAAGTTGTAGAATTAACAAGAATTAACAAGAATTAACAACTAACGTAAACAACACAAATATTCATTTATCTTATGAGTAACAACAACATTATAATTTACCAAAATTTTTATAACTCTGGAACCTTTATAATTATTATATAATTCTTATACATTTGTTAGTAGTCGTAATTTTTAAAGTAAAGATAAAAGGTTTATTTATTTTATTACTTATTATTTACTATTTCACCCTCGACAATCAATAGCTTAACATAAACAAGACTTTTGTTGTAGCTTTAATTATCACGCTACAATCTTTCCATGCTGACTAGTCTCGAAAAGATATTTCAGCAGAAACAAAATCAGCAGAAACGAAATCAATCAAATAGCATCAGTTAAACAATTAAGCATCCATTGAGAGTGTGGCATGTGATTTGCACAGCAATTTCCTTGCAAAATTGATACACAATTAAATTAGAACACACTTGACCCCCAGAGGCAACACACACCCCACACACACCCATGTCAGAATTAATAATCACGCATCTATTTCATTTGGCATTTATTTTCCATTCCACAGATGGGGTTGTGGTGGACCCAACCAAATGCAAAAAAGGGGGTAGGGCTGAACTTTGAGGGCAAACTAAAAATTCTTTGCAATAATATCGTGCACACTACTTGTACTACAATTGTTGATATGCCTGTGTTGTTCCACTTATGCTTTGTGCAAATGCCATGCAAAAATATGCCAACAACCCAATTCCCAAACTCGCAAGCACAAACAAGATAAAACAAATGTCAAGTTGGGCACGCCGTCCATGAAGTGTCGCGACTTACATATTTATTTTTTGTTTTTATGTTATGTGTTCCTTTTGAGCGCTGCCCAACGCCTCAAGCAGGCACTCTGGCAATTGTTATTTCTGTGACATATTATTTACATAGAAATTAGCATTTTCAAAAATAAAAAAGGAAAACATTTTATTATCTCTCGGCTCGGGTCGGCTTTCTGTGCCGTTCTTTTTTGCACTTGAAAGCCTCGCATGCGCCGGAACGGAACTATTTACACCGAGCAAACAGATAGACATGCTATGAGTATAGTCGTACATAGATAGGTACACACGAATATACAACTATACACATTGTCTATGCATATATGTATGTATGTATGTTTATAGACGAACTCAGACAAACTGATAAAAAGCGCAGACACACGAAATTAAATTTAAAGAAAAAATGATCGAGCAATTAGCGATGCTCAGCTATGAATAGTCGGAAAAAAGAGCGAGTAGAACGTTAATGTTATGCCAACCCGACACTGTGTACCAGCTACAGTCGCTCAAACAATAAAATTTGAGATTTTAAATTCATGAATTTCAATTTTGGTCACAATATCGCAACAAACAAAAAAGCTGATCATACTTAGATTGATTATTACACCGATGATATACTTGTATACGTGTATGTTTTTGAAATAATGAGCCGCTGTTTGATCTCACTTCAGAGGTGCTATAGAACACTCAGAAATGCCTAATTTAGTTACGGAGCCATTATACTTGTAGTATAAGAGGCAATATTGTAGTAATAAGATTGATTTTTGCTCCGAAGCGATTTTGATGAAACTCCTTATATAATATTATGGGGCACTATCAAAATAACAAATTTATTTAAGATATCTCAGTTATACTACTTACTACTAACATTGATTTTTGGCACCTGTATATAATAATAAAACTAGTATATATGCTTTGTAATTAACTTGCTCTGCAAGTCTACATACTATTTTTCTTACCCATAGCTGCTAAGTTCTCAGTGTTCATCTGGACTAACAAACGCATAGATGGATGGACGGCCAGTTGGACATGCTTATATTGATTCGTTAAGTTATGCAAATCATATAGTATGTGCCTATAACATTCTGGTTCTATCCCGTCTACTGCTGCATGTGACATAAATTTGGCGCCTAAACTTTCTAGTATACCCTTTCACACTTCGGGTATAGGGTATAAAAATAGACAATCGCACACAGACACACACACACATTTTGCGGTGAATTATCTCAGTTTACTCTCTTTGGATGTGCAGATATTTGCATATATATAAAAATAATAATAATAAAAGCGATAATTTTGATCATGAGCAGCAGCGAATTGATTAACCGCTGATTAACAATTAACCCATTATGGCTGAGTAATTGCCTTAATTGCTGAACAACATTTTTGTAAAACAAAAAAATACATACATATATGTAAAATGTAAGTAATTAGTGCGTGACTGCAATTTATTTAATTTGTTGGGTGTTAAGCAAAAACTACTTGTACAATAATTTTGTCAACTACAAGTCGGCACTAAATAAATAAAATAATGCATTTTTGTAGCACAACAAAACAAATGCATATCTACATAATTGAAATAAATTCATAAATACGTGCAGAGGCATATTTTCAATAAATATGTCAAAGCAATTTAAAAACGAGGCTACCCTACATTGTTAACTTCTTGCAGAGGGCATCTTAAATATAGCCAAGCGTTGGTAACACTTGGATGAAAGTAACACTCTTGCCATAAATTACAAATATAAACTGTTTGATTTAAAAACGCCCTTAAAAAGTTTGAAAAAATTGTTTATTATTAAGATATAATTTATATTAATTTATATTAACCCTCATTTTCAAAACCTTTAGAATCTTTATTAAGAAACTATGTATAGAAATAAAACCATTAATTTCAAGATAAAGTACACAACTTGAAAATATCAATAGAGAACAAATATATTTGTAAAAGTCTGAAATGAAAACATTTTTATGTCCCATCTTTGCTAATTAATTGTATACTCGAATTGAAGTTGGTGATTAAAAAACTAGGCAATCCACATTCAATAACTCTAGTCGGGTCTAAAATCAAAAAACCCCCAACTATAACTAAGTCTATAGCACAGTAACAATATACGTTTTAAAAAGAACAATATTTATAAACACATCGCAGCCTGAACAAAACCAAGAACTTGCAAAAAATAAAAAATTTGTTAGGGTAAATAAGTTGTCGCTGCGCAAAGTTGGCAATTGCCATTTCTCATTTTAAATAAATAATTTTGTAAAATTTTGCAGCACCATAAAAATGATTAAATATTGATTTAAAAAGTCACAATTGTTTTACAATCTTGTTTTGCTCGATTTCGTTGCCGGCTATCTAACAAGTTGAATCTCATAACAATTTACAGCAGCATAATAAAATAATTGTAAATGTAGATGGAAATGAAAATGGCTGGGCTTATTAATTATGTATATTTACATAAATTTATTCATTTTTCCTTTCGCCTAGCAATTTTAAATTGCATTTTTTAAGAGAAGAGAAGAGAAGAGAAGATAGAAATATTTTATGTGTCATAAATCAATTTATCAGCAGCATTTTTATAGGCACCCAACAGGAAATGATTGAGGCCATATGGGGTTAAATGCATTTTAACTACGCAAACTCGCATCTACACACATAATCGCCTTAATCTATTGCTCTTTTGGCAATGCCGTAGCTCTAAAATCTCCAGCTGGCGAACAAGAAGCGTGCACAACGACAAGCGAGCTACAAAAGTCATTAAGAAGTGCTAATCGGTTGGCACAATAAAAATAAGCTCTGCCTTACAATTTAAATACAGCAGCGAAGTCAACAGCAACAGCAACAACAACAACAGTAATAGCAGCAGCAGCAGCAGCAGCAGCAAAAAGTGATGTTCAAGTACATAATTATAAAGCAGTTGAGCAAACGTTTAAGTTAGCGCCTTAAATCAGTGACAAGAACGCAAAAAGTAGAACAAAAACAGCACTAAGCTTACATATATGGGCATGCCACAATATCTGAACTTTTCTTGGAAATCTCACATGCTATACTTGTATTTTTACAAAAATTTCGCCATCTATTTAACACTACAAAGAATATAAATAAAACATAAACTTTGATATCGTGCGACCTAGTCTGGCAAGTATGTGCAGATATCATACCATCTATCACTTTTATTACTTACTTTCATGCTTTTCCATGAAATATCAACAGCCTCGCATAAAATTTAACATTTGCCTAAAACAGCAGATAAGAACAGCAGCCGACTGCATATGATATGAGATGTACACGTATCTACGTATCTGTGAGATACACCACACATCGCAAAACGAATTTCAAACAGCTACAGATCCGAATGCCTCACACTTTATTCGCGTCCTCTTTGTTGTTATTATTGTTGTTGTTGTTACGGCTTTCAAGATTAGCCGCGCACGCAAAACTACAACAATAAACAAACAAACGAGACAATATATATCGCACATCTGCCGCACCGGCTAGACACGAGCGGCAAATGGGACCAGCCAGCCAGACCAGTAAGTGTCGGATCAAAATGATTTTCATGCCAGAGCGTGCTAATGGCAAATCAAAGCACATAATTGTCTGTCACAGCACACGCGGCTCTAGACGGTTTCGAGCGCGATTCAAGGCAGCATCGCTATATCTTTAACTGCGCTTATCAAGTTTATACGATAATCACAAGCTACATTTAATTGGAAATAGCATATAGTATAATGACGTACTCCCCTTTTCTGCTATCTAAACGCCAATCAATGAACTTTTTATGGCAAATATTATACGGCTCATCTAATCAGCAGTAGTAATCATTCTTAAATCAAATCCAATTCGTTTCAGATTTATGATAACCATATCATTGCCCTGTCATTACATATTTGATTATTTGTTGTTGTTGATAAAACATTAATTCACATAACATTTACTTTCCAATGGAATTTTGTTGGCACACAACAATTGGAAAAATATAATACAAGTAGAATTCGAAATCTCAAAGCAACATTCTATTGGAACATTTTATTAATTTTATTAAATAAAAAAACATTGAAACAGTTGTGAAACGCTGTTTAGCCGCAAATATGCTTTAGAGTTTCTGATTCAAATAATTCATTCATTTTCCAATCGAATGTTGCTGAAACACAACTATTTGAAAAATATAATAGGATTCGAAATCTCAAAACAACTTTCTATTTGAACATTTTATTAATTTTATTAAATAAAAAAAAAAACATTGAAACAATTGTGAAACGCTGTTTTAGCCGAAAATATGCTTTAGAGTTTCTGATTCAAATAATTCATTCATTTTCCAATCAAATTTTGCTGAAACACAACTATTTGAAAAATATAATAGGATTCGAAATCTCAATACAACTTTCTATTTGAACATTTTACTAATTTTATTAAATAAAAAAAAAACATTGAAACATTGAATTTCTCTGAAACTCAACCATATGCTTTAGAGTTTCTGATTCAAATAATTCATTCATTTTCCAATCGAATTTTGCTGAAACACAACTATTTGAAAAATATAATAGGATTCGAAATCTCAAAACAACTTTCTATTTGAACATTTTATTAATTTTATTAAATAAAAAAAAACATTGAAACAATTGTGAAACGCTGTTTTAGCCGAAAATATGCTTTAGAGTTTCTGATTCAAATAATTCATTCATTTTCCAATCAAATTTTGCTGAAACACAACTATTTGAAAAATATAATAGGATTCGAAATCTCAATACAACTTTCTATTTGAACATTTTACTAATTTTATTAAATAAAAAAAAACATTGAAACATTGAATTTCTCTGAAACTCAACCATATGCTTTAGAGTTTCTGATTCAAATAATTCATTCATTTTCCAATCGAATTTTGCTGAAACACAACAATTGGAAAAATATAATAGAATTCGAAATCTCAAAGCAACATTCTATTGGAACATTTTATTAATTTTATTAAATAAAAAAACATTGAAACAGTTGTGAAACGCTGCTTAGCCGCAAATATGCTTCAGAGTTTCTGATTCAAATAATTCATTCATTTTCCAATCAAATTTTGCTGAAACGCAACTATTTGAAAAATATAATAGGATTCGAAATCTCAAAACAACTTTCTATTTGAACATTTTATTAATTTTATTAAATAAAAAAAAAAACATTGAAACAATTGTGAAACGCTGTTTTAGCCGCAAATATGCTTTAGAGTTTCTGATTCAAATAATTCATTCATTTTTTGATAGAATTTCGCTGAAACTCAACCATTAGAAAAATATAATTATATAATTATAATAATTATAATTCGGATTCTTAAAACAAAATTGTTTCTATTTCTATATTGGTCAAATATTTTCCTTTATTTACAATAAATTTATGATTCAGAAAATGACTAAAATGGACACTCTGCAGTAAACTATTATCGTATATTCGTTAAAACAAATTTGTTTTTCAATTGAAGCAAACATTATATTGGCTTAAACAAAAGAGACGGACGAACAAGAGTTTAAAAATTGATTCAATATCATTTAATATCCAAAGTTAGTGAAAACACAACTTGCTTTAAATTATTTGTCATCACACCATTTAATTTCGTTAAAGGCACTTTGTAGAAAGAAAATCAATTCAAGCATACTTAATAACAGAGATTCAATTCGAGCGAACTTTTTAGCCATTTATAGAAATAATATAAATATTAAATAAAATATTTAAAAGTTTCATTTCAATGGCAAAATTTCGCATAGTATGTTGATAGGACAATTATTTGCTTTTTAAAACTCCACTACTATTCACACACACTGCCATAAACACCAGAACGAGCTTCGAAAATCCGCAGTTTCGTATGCGCAATTGCCGGCAATATAGAGACACAGTTTATTTTTACTGTATTTACCTTTAGTTTATGTATTTCGCGACGCAATTTGATTAGCTCGTTATCCCTAGCCTGCAGCAATTCCTTGAGCGCATGCAATTCATTTTGCAAACTATTGACCTGCAAATCGCGATCGTCCAGCTCGTCCAGCGTGTTAGGCATTTTCACTGTCAGCTTTATTGTGGTTTTTGCTCGTGTTGTTGTAGTTGCTTGTGCGAAACAATTTACAGCATTTGCTTGCTAAATTTGTAGCCATTCAAACCGAATTAGCATATGCACAATGGAGCGGACGGAGAGGCAAAATTTTAGTTGTAGTTGCGGTTGAAATTTTGAAGCGTAATTGCCGTTGGGTTTTCTAAGCGTGCGCACGTTCGAGCAAAGACTGTCTCGGCGAACCGAATGGGTAATTTAAAGAAGCGTTACGATCGGCTCGAAAAATTACGCATACGCTCTGTATGCTGACAGCAGCGTTTGAGAGAGCGAGCGAGCGAATGAAGATCGCGCTCATTTGCGGCGTTTTGTTGAGCGTTATCAGCTGGTTTGTGTAGAAACTGGTTTGTGTCGCGGCTAAGCTTATCACATTTCGCTTTTATGCAATTTAATTTAAGCTTTATTCTGCCCATGGCCTGTTTTCTTCTCGTTCTTGTTCTCGTTCTTGTTCTGGTTCGTGTTCTTCTTCTTCATCATCATCATCTACTGCCATTCTTCCTTCCTGTCATGCATTAAGTCCAGCTCTTTAGCGCTTTGTCTCTTAGCATAAAAACAAAAGCCAGACAGACGGGGCACAAAAATGGGCAGCGCGCATAACAAAAGCGTAGCGTAATTTGATGATGACAGCCAACGCCTTGCCTGGTTACTGCCATCCCCCCCCCCCCCCCCAGGTGCCCCCTTACCCCCTGCGTCGAGCCCACGCACTCACTCGCACATTGTGGCAAAGCGTAAGAATGAAAATAGAGGGTGGTGGGGGGACAAGGGACGGCAAATATGAAAATGTACGCTAAACGAGCGAGGAAAGGCAATGGCAAGAAATAAAATTGCTTTACAGCCATAATAGAATTATAGTGGCCACTACGAACCGCGTCTCATTGCTGCCACTGCTTTCTGCTCTGCTCTGCTGCTGCTGCTGCTGCTTCTGCCGCAGCATAAGCTTGATGAGCACACAAATACACACACACACACACACACACATATATATATATATACAATCGCATGCACGCTAGCTAAAAGCAAGGCGAAATAAAATAGCGGCAAGGACACGGATTTGCTGGCGGCCATGGCAATGCGGCAACGGCAACAGCAACGCTTCATTTGAAGCTCAGCACCGCACATTTCACAGCCAAGCAGACAGTGATGTATAGTGTATATATGTATGTATGTACATACATATTCATTTAATATGTATGTATGTATGTGCGTGCTGTGCTGTTCTGTGAGTGCGTGCGTGCACGAAAAATGTAACAGCGATTTGCGAAACGTGACAACATAAAAAAATTCTTCACGCCAGGCTACAAAATGCTTGGCGCAAAAAGGATTAGTCGTGAGCATATACAAACACTGCAGCCCGCTCAAATAGGTATTAGTGGATAATAATTATATGGGTAGGATTATAATAACAATAAATTAATGTACTTAAATTACGAGTGCTGTTGATTTAACTGTTAAAGCAAATGCTTCAAAATTAAAGCATACTCGTATGCGTTGTAAAGCTCATCAAGGGATGCTCAGTGTAATGCTAAAGAGTCCTTTGACAATTGCATTTTCTGATAGCATGAATATTTATATAGAAATTTGGCAAACATAGAACTAAGAGGGTTCTGTTTGTTTCCTTCCATAAGCAAACATAAATCTGTTATTATTATGACTAACCTTTTTAAAGCAAAAATAGTGCACTTAATATAGCAGTTAATACCTTTAATTAATATTTCTCAACTGGTCTGTTAGTGCAATGGACTGCAAAAAATTATTATTTTGTTATTTTTAAACGAAAATATCATTCACTTATAGTAACTATGAGAAAGCGGGGTCTTAACAGATATCCTTTTTTAAAGATTATCTATCTTTTTTCATTTTTTTGTAATTGTTAGAAAGCACTTCAGTTTCTTGCCTGTAGTGCTAGTTTAGTTCACGGAAGTTGCTAAATCGAATCCGTAAAGCAGTTAACTAATAACACTTATAAATAACAGGAATTAACAAAATATTACTACCACTTTAGTAATTAAATGGTGACAGAGTTGGGCATTTATTTGCATTGCCCGTCTTATTGACAATCCCTCATTTAAAAGCCAGTTTAATTTTTGAGCTCTTCAGCATTTAACAATAAATTACATTTTTGTAGAGGTTAAATATTACATTTTGCCTCTTTGACTCAATATTTATATCAGCACTAATTTACTCAGAAAAGCAATCACTTTAAGTGGCTCCCATTAGCTAAGCCTTCAAATTGTCTGTCTTTCTTCAATGATACTTTGTTTTCGACTACAGTAGTTGAGAAATTTCTTGCATTCTAAGTGCTATTAATGCCTATGTTAAAAAATAACGTACAATTTATATTCATTAACGCACAACTGTAAGCTTAGAAAGCCTTTATTATATTATTCAATTATTTGGACAGCATTTAAACAAATTTTTGTTCTTCGTAAACTCTTATTTAATAATCGAATGTGAATCAAAACAATTTAGAATGTCCAAAAAACTACCTCGATTCGCTAAAAAATTAGAAACATACTTTTGTAATTCATAAAGGCCTTTCTTAATTGCTAATTTGTATTGACTTATTGCCAGCTACATACCAAATTTTCACAATTTTTGTTTTATGGTAAATCTAAAGCGTCGAACTAAAGAAAATTGCAAACAAACTATAGCTATACTTATTAAGCCCGTAGGTGGGAATAAATTAAATTCGATGATTACGAATTTTTAATTTGAATACAATAAACCAAACAGTTTTTCATATTTTTAAAGAGAATTCCAAATTGTAAATATATATTTCACTTTTAAATGTTTGGCATCTTGCAACAGTTGTTATTATAACTAATAATCCTCATTAACTCTATAAGTTTGTGTGTAAGTGTAATTTCAGCGATGAAAATTCTACTTATCAATTTACTATCATTGTCAAAAATTTATAAGTAGGCCAGACAATGCACTATTTGTTATTTTCATTATCATTTCGCCCTAAGCAAACATTTTCTACACAAAGTCGCCGTGCTGTTCGAATATATGTACACACAACGTATGCGTAATGATGCAGCAAACAATCTATTAGAGCCAACAGAGACACCAAAATAAATGAATGCAATGCAAGTATGGTCTGCTAGTGCTTCCTGCTACCTGCTGCCCCGACTTTTGCCTGCTCATTATGGTAAATGGCTAGTAGATAAGCGCACAGGTTAAAGTGCTCAAAACTTTGGCATACTGACAGGCGAGCTGGCGAGCAGGCGAGCTGGCGTGGAGGAATGACGGTTGCTAAGTAACTAATTATCTTTACGCTGGCAATGAACGAAAATTAGCAGCAAGAGCTTACGGGAAATGTTGACCAAGCGGCATCCAAGTGGCCGGACAGACTTCGTTAATAGCGTCTGGGACATGGTCACATTACTTTAAATGTCAATTTGCAACGACTAATTAATGGCGTCAATTTGAACTTGGCAGCATCTAGAAAATGCTAGAGAAGTTGACTTCAAGATTTATGCGCCACTGCCGCATAAAAGTAAAACCCAGTGGTGTACATAAAATCCTGAAAGTAACATTAAATGCACACACGAAGACAGAAACTGCTCAGCGTGCAGAGAGCAAATGAAAGGCTTAACTAGACTTTGCCATAAACTCACACACACACATGTACATGCACATAACCACAACCGCGCCATTATGCTGGCAAACCTCAATTACAAAAGCAAATCTTCGTCATGTGCAACTGAAATCAGGCAATCAAGCTAACAGGATTTGTTACCTACACAATATTTACATAATAAATATGTCAAAGATTTCACAGTGGTGATTACAATGGGGAAAAAGGGCAGACGAAAGGCAACAAGGCGCACGAGCTCAGATCAATTTCCATTTGTATTTTCCTTTCGGTTTTTTTTCTGCATTCTTGCGCCTGTCACAGACCCTCGCCAGAGAAATGTCACTGAGATGGAAGACAGGAGACGGCAACCAACAACCACACAGCATGGCGCATAAGTGTGATAAGTGTGACAGAGCACAAAAAAAAAAAAACAAAGGCCACAATGGATGAAAAAAAAACAGCTAAAACATGCAACAATAACAATAGCAATAGCTAGCAAATAACAAAAAATTGTGGGACAACCTTTTGCATACATTTGAGTGGCTTCACTCGCCAGGGCGTATACGTAATCTGATGCATAGAAACCACCACCACCAATGATCTCAATACGAGTATGTAAATGAGTTTTGGGGCGAACAGGGTTTGCTTTGAAAAATTTCAGCGCCCATCCTCAGTAGACATTGAATGTAAGCTCAATAGAAACAGATTGTTTAAAACACTTATTTTCAAAAGCAAGCAACAACACAAAGTTGTCACAAACATACATAAAAATACTATTTTATTTTCATAGGTCAAGAATTTTGTGCTTGCAATTACATACGGATTTCGTATAGAATTCAATAATCTAAGACCAATAGAGAAAACTAGTCAGGTAAGTAAAGGGTAGCAAACGGGTGGATGAAGAAATTTGTGGTTGAGTCGGCAAAATTGAGGCATAGATGGCACTACATGCTCGTAGGTTATGAGGAAAATAACAGAGTAAGAAACTAAACAGTTATCAGAAAATGAAAAGATCCGCCATTGTTGCAGTCGATTAATCTATACTTTCACAGAGTTATAAAGAAAACTTTTACGCTTCATTAGGCCTACAGGAAAAAATTATGTCGTGCTTACAATCTTCAAATTCTTAGTTCGTGCATTGCTTGCCTAGAATCAATATTAAAATACCTAGTAAAGCCATTTTAGATCATGATCCCAGCAGTAAGATTGGAAAATAATTTTCCTGTTTTTCCCAGCTTTAGTTTATGGTCAAAGGAGCAAAGAATTTGCGGATAAATTGGTTATGTTTTGATTTCAATTCTAATGGAATCATAAAGCCGTTTAAAACCCGTAAGGACAGTAAACATTGAAGCTACAGTAACATTAGAGAGAAATTGTTTTAAATCATTGCATGGCTGTAGAAAATGAAGAAAGGGGTTATCTGTTTACAATAAAGATTAATTCAACTTCATTCAATTTTATTCTTTAAATTTAAAACAATTTCGTTATTTCTTAAAGGTTAAAAGGTTACACAATTTAAAGAAATTTCTCTTTCCATTTAATTAAAAAGCTTTTATTTCAGTCTCAAGCTTAAGAGAAATATTTACTACAATAATTTAGTTTGTAAACTAACAACTTAACGTGAAGAAAATGTAAGAGTTTGCCTCACAAATCAATATGAATGCACAACTCAACATCTTTGTTAAGCAATTGAAATTCTTGGAAATAACAACACATGGGAAAACAGTTCAATTTCTTCTAAGCCAGTATGTATTGTAACAATTTAATTCTAGAATTACTAGTCTTTTATAAAAAGCGTTTTCCATTTTCTCATAAGTTGCTTGTTTCTCTTATTATATTTCATTACTGAAGGCCATCATTTTGTATTAATTTGTATTTATTTCTAAATTTTTCTTTTTACTATAGCATGTCTGTAATGAAAAGCGATTTCCACTGTAAATACATAGCCTGAAATAGTACTTGTTATCCTTATTATATGTCAGTGTTTTCATTGCATATGTTTCGGCTTTGTGTGCTATTTATTTCTTGATGCACAACAATCCTTTCTCGCACAGCAAGCGTGTAATGAAAGGTACTTAACTCCCACAACAGAAATGTTGTCAACATTCATGTATAAGCTCATTTCTCAAATTGAAAGCTCGCCTTGTGGCCTAACCACATATCCCTATCTTATGGATGTCAGTTCATATAACCCTTGATAGAAGCCCCTCCACATAATGACGATGCATAGAGAATAGAAGTGCATGAGAGGGAGAGAGGGAGCCAGCTAACGCTGTTGCGGGTACTCGTGTACATTTGACAGGCCACAAATCCTTCATATGCTCCCGCACATAAAAATGTAGTTATTCAATTAAAATCCGTGCTCGGTGCGCAAAGCTCATGGCACGTGGCCCACAATCAAGCGACTCTCTGGCACAAATACAAATGCCAAGGAGATTGTGCACGCTTTGTGCAAGAAGAAAAATTATATGGGAAAGCGCAGGTGAGTGAGCAAAAGTGTACATTGGGGATTAATTCGCGCACAGGACTCGCTGCTGCTGCTGCTGCTGCTGCTGCTGCTGCTGCAGCATAAGCTGCGACTTTGCAACGGACCGATTTTACGGGCTCTGCCCCTGCCCGTTTGACCTTCTGCCCATCGTACGCCTCATTCATTTTCGGCTTTTGTTGTTTGATGCTGCTGCGCATATCCTTTAGGTGGAGCAGAGGATGGGGATTGCCTTTGTTTTTCTGCTGTGCTGTTGGCCTTTCTCTGCCAGATAAATATAACGTATTTGTTTTTTGCTTTTTTGTGCCGAACATGCGGCATTGTTATTTTTTGTTAGCCAACAGCGTCATGCATCTTTGGCCCATCTAACTGAATTATTCAATGGTCGGCTCTTGAAAATTGGTTGGGAATTTCGTGATTTCTGGCTTGCAAAAAAAGGTGACGGCCAGGTTATGATAATTTGGAGCCGACTTCCTCAGACAACAGGCAACAGTTTCTCTAAACTCAAGAGCTTAGAGGTCACGTGTCGTTGTAAGGATTTACGCTCTATTAGCTAGAATGAACTAAGGAAATAAGGTTGTTGGCTAAGTTGTCACAAAAACTTTTTCACTTTTGTCTAGTGTTTTATTTTATTTTTGGCATTGGAAATAAAAAAACTTCCAATTGCAAGTTGTTGCCAAGTTTTGCGAAACTCTCTTATTTATGCCTTGCAAAACTTCAGTGTATTTGAAAGGCAATTCAAAACCAGCCACTCACTCTGCTCTTTCAAGAGCAACAGAAATGGCAACGCAATTTGTTGCAAATAAATTTAGAATTTAGCTTCATGTAAACCGCTCTCAGACCGCTCTCAAGTTTTCATATTGCGTTGCTGCCATTCATGATACTGCTGACGACTATGCGTGTTTGTGAAGTTTTGCAAATTGCAAACACGCACACACACACACTCCCACTCGCTCCCACACACACACACACTCCCACACTTTAATGTTATGGTATATGTGTAAGCAGTGGACAATGATAGATTAGCCAGCGCCATGCTGGATGCTTTCCATTTCCTGCGGAGCAGTTGAACGCAAAACTTCAATTCCTGCAACTGCCAACATTTCTTACAACAAAATTAAACTGTAATTGAAAAAGTCAATTAAAAAGTTTCGCATTTTGCGCACAATGAGCTAACGAGAATGGACAGGACAAGTGGGTAGTGGCAAGTGGCAAGTGAAAAGTGGCAGGGCGAGTCGAATAGTGGAAAGCGAGAAATATATAACGCTTATAGCCAGCTATTCATTCAACCAATGCCTTTTGTCTTTTTTGGCCATTTCGGACTGAAATACTCATCAATGTTTGCTGTTCCTCCGCTGCTTTTGTTGTTGTTGTTGTTGCTGTTCGTGCTGCTGCACAAGTTGACGCCTGCGGCCAAGTTGCAAAAAGTTTACGCTTCACGCTATGTTCCAACCATCAATTAACGTAGAGTTGTACGCTTTTCACTTACAATCGACAGGACGGCACCGCCCTAAGCACCGCTCAAATAAACAAACCACATCGAAATATTTCATTAAAATACGTTTTTACACTTACAGTTCAGTTTATTTCAAAAAAAAAAACTGCATTAATTTATTGATTGATGGAAACGAATGTGTTGCAAGTGCAAAACAAAGTTAATGTTGCCACAGGCAACACTAATAAAAACCGACAGCTGCAAATATTTAATTTAGTTGAAAAGCATTTAATATTAAATGAGGAAATTAAATGTTTGACTCACCATGTCTAACCTTTTAGAAAAAAGGAACAGCTAAATTTCTTTTGATATAAGGGATGGAATCAGTCTTACTTTCTCATTCGGGAAACATTGGGTATTTCCAAAAATTAGTAGAGTATTTAAACATTTTAGGAAAAAGCAACAGTAAAATTTCTTCCAATATAAGTAATTGAAAGAGTCTTACTTTCTCATTCAGGCAACATTTGGTATTTCAAAAAATTAATATGGAGTTTTTAAAGTGAGAACCAAACAGTTCCCTTAAAAAACTAGTTCGGAAAGCACAGTTTAAAAAAGGAAGTTTTAAAATGTTATCTAGAAAAATATAATTCGTCAAAAAAAAAAATATTAAAGTGAGCAAGGCTTCCCTAAAAACTTCCGAAAAATAGCGACCCGGTGCTGCAACTTAAGGTAGTATTGGTTTAAATAAATTGATCGCAACTAAATGTGCCTGGGACTAAAAAAAAAAGAATTTAAATATAGAATAACATATAAGTAGAATAACAGATAACTGCTCCACTGATGTTGCCCAGAAATTGAAATAGAAATAGAAGAGTCTACATACCAAGTTGAAACTGTGTGGACTCGGCTGTTTTATTTTCTTTTTAGGAACGAAGAGGCTTTCTTCTGCCACTTACAAGCCCACTCTTCTTACTTGGTAAAAGATAAGATAACATTCATATTTTTCTATGTTAGATTTATTTTTTACCGCTTGACAGAAACAGGTTACTATATTTGGAAACGAGATGAAAAGTAAAATAAGTACATGGAATGGTCACATGTTGTCGAATTTTGTGTAGATTAACAATAATAGATTAATATAGCCACAAGTATTATTTTATTCTAATAACTGCTTAATTAGACGTCACAAAAAATCGAAGCTTTCTCTCCTGCTTTACAGATGAAAAAGGTGATGAAATGCCTTCTGTCCATACCACAAAAATTCTTCAGATTACTGAGGTTTGATCTTTAGCTCCTCATATTCTAGATGTAGACGATATGTAGATGTTTATATTGTTGACCTCTTCTATATTACTCTTCACAGCATGGACCGTTCAAAGACCAGAACTCTGGAAATTGATTTGTCCGTTTTTGAAGCCATGTTCGAACAAGCGACTTATTCCAAGGAACAGACACCTCTGACGCTCGCCACGAATATTTCCAATTTGGAAGATTTGCAGTTATGCTGTCGCTGTTGTGGTCGTATTGATGACAACACATTCGTCGATTTGGACGAGGAGCAGAATTTTGATTTTGATCCATCGATAAACAACTACCGCAGTTTATTTCAGCGCACTTCGCTGCAATTTGTAAGTAGAGTTTGGAGAACAATTAATACCATAACATCACTCCACATTTCCTTTAATGCTTTCAGCAATTTCACACTATGCCTAATTTACCGACGCGTATCTGTGCGCGTTGCTGCTACAAAATTAAAATCTTCTATTGCCTGACGCGTCAGTTCGTGCTTAATCAGAACTCAATGCGCGCCACCATCACAGAATGGTATCGCAATAATCACTGGATTGAGCCTCCAGAACAGGCAACTGATTTGAAACGTGTTAATGAGGAACTGGCCGCTGCAGATCCTGAACTGTTGCCGCCACCTCCACTCCCACAAACGGCTACCAAGAATGGAGTAGTTGTAGGCTGTAAGGAGCGGGTAGCCTCTTGTTTGGTGCAGCCAATGCCTCAAGAGATGCCAAAGAAAATAGAGCAGGCGTCTAAGCAAACCAATAAGAATGCCAGCGGTGCAAATAAAATTGCTAGAATCAACGCACTGGCTAAGCTAAAGTCGCCTCCGTTCATTTGTCACTCATGTGGCTGGGTTAGTTAATTTTCTTACTCAAAATCAATTCATTTTATCCATGCTTATATCTGTTTAAATGTTTCTCTTTAGCTAACTAATCTTTGCTTTTAGCCTTAGTTTCCGCTAATATCCGTTAACGATTGGTTACTTTTCTGTATACAATTCAATTTTATATCATCCATAACGATAAAAACCGATCTAGATATGTCCGCTTCTCTATTTCCGTATTTCTTTCTCTACATTTCAATTAACTATTTTCCCTCACTCTTTATTGACATCACGCCACTCTCTACAATATATTTCCCTCTAGGAATGGGCTACTCGCGCCGACTTGATCGCGCATTGTGGAGTTCGCACTTGTTGTCGCTCTCCATCCCAACAGTCTGGTTCGCTGGCATCTGGGCGCAATCCGGCACAGGTTTCGCAATCTGCACGTGCCAAGTCCTTGCATGGAAGCAATCTGCAAGTTGCCAGAACTCAAAGGCAGCCAGCCACGGCTCGTGAGGTTAGAGGTCGTCAGCAAGATTGTAACGCTGCTGCCAAAAAGCTTTTTATAGTACCAACACGACAAGGCACGTCATCTGCGCCACTTCCAACCTATCCACGAAGAGTGGCATCTGCACTGTCCATACCAGCACGGGCCACGTGCCACACTGCTGCTCAAACGCGTCGCGAACGCACAACACGTTTTCCAGTCGCTGAGCCTGATCCATCAATGCCAGATGTCGAATCCGGCGCAAAAAATGAGTGCATTGTGCCACCTAGAATTGCATCGGATGGATGTGAACCTACAAGTTTGCAGGCTACAGGACAAGGCGCAGGACCAGCAACAACCAACCCAGTGCCACCCTCACGCGCTCAATTGCAGCGCCAACAGAACGCCCGATGTCGTCAATGGCGTTGAAAAGAAACAATTTACCCTTCTCAACGCATTTTGTTTCGTTTTCATTTCATTCGAATTGTTTTAATAGCTTCTAAATTTTGGTAATAATTCAGTCAATTAGAGAATTGAAACAACAATGATCAAAATTATTACACAGAAAATTTCCATATGTGCATCATTTGTAGCTTTTAACAATGAATCTTAACCCATTCTATGAAGCTCACATAACACTCACACAAACAATGTTACATTGGGAAATGTAGAATATAGTTAATTCAATTTTTGATATTTTGTTTTATTTTTAATTGACACGTCGCAACTTAGATACGCTTTCAAATCATATACAGGGGTACAAGTATTATCGCTTGTTGACAAAGCTTTCACATTTTCTTAATATTTTTCAAAAGATTTAGGTTTATTATAAATCCCAAGACTTACTTAGCTAAAAACATATGTACAATTTATATTTATATTATAACAGTAATATTTTGAATGGATGAAGAAAGTTTTTAAAATTATTATATGTTTTTCATATCAATCAGTAAACTATTTCAAATCTGTGAATCGGTTTGAAATTGTGTGAGCTATGATCTGAAATTCGATCAGTTCCCAGTCGAGAACTGATGAGATATTGGCTCATACCGAGCTCAAAAACAACTTAACTGTGTTGTTTTTGATGTTATGAGTCGAAAAATAGATATATAGTCTATTAATTTACATTCGTAAAAAACAAACGCCAATTGTGTGGGTATTGATTACAATAAATATATTTAAACATAATTATTAAACAGATAATGACTTCAACGAATTAAAGGCGAGCAAATATTGGATAGTTTATATATATTATAAATCATTTTTTTAACTATCTCAAAACAAACTAATTTGAAAATACTTATAAAGCTGATAAATAAAAGCTAGAGCGGAAAGGCTTATCAAAAATAACTTAATTGAGTTGTTATTTATGTTATGATTTGAAAATGGCTTCGATATTTACACAAAATTTTTCTTAAATATTAATTTATAATCGTTAAAAAACAAGCGCCAATTGTGTCGACATTGATTGCAATAAATATATTTTAAAATAATTATTATACAATAAATATTATACAGATGATGATGTCATGGTTAATATATATTTATTATAAATAATTTATTTAACGATCTTAAAACAAACTATATTAAGAGTACTTATAAAGCTGATAAATACAAGCTAGAGATGAAAAGCTTATCAAATTTCAGTAAGTTAATTTATTTATTTATTAAAAAATTAAATAAATTTCGGTAAGTAATAACAAAGAATATTATCAATAAGTTGTGAGAAATTAACATTTCATTTCATATCTTCGCCTTATTTTTGAGAAAATCAAAACATTCCCAACTTGCAAGAGTATTACGTAAAATGCAACATGCATTTAAGTTGTTTTCAAAAAAAATGAATGCAAAAATCGATAAAAATTTAACAAACAAATAAAACAGTCTGACGAATTGCAGTCGAAATGGCAAAGGAAGGAGGCTTCCTGAAACTGGGCCTATTCATATAACGTCAGTCAAAAAATGCCAAACAAATTGATTGGAACCGAACACGAAACGTTAACAAAAAACCATTCATATGATTGATTGATTGACTGACTGACTGAACGACCAACCGGCAGACCTGTATAAATGATTGCATGAATGACTGACTGACTGCATGACTGACTGCGTGCCTTTACGCGAGCTCCGCGGACGCAATTTCAGGATTGCGCTTTGATTTCATGTTTGAACTGCTCGCTGTTGATGTTTGTATGTGCGTGTGTACGTGAGTGTGTGTGTGTGTATCTGTGTTATTTGTGTTATTTGTGTGCACCTACGAGATGCATTATAATACTGCCACTTCTCGTAGCAAATTTGATTTTAAAATCATTGCTGTGCCATTTTAATAAATGCAATTACATAAATTTTATCGCAATACCTGCGACAAAATACACGTACATTTTGCATTACGTAGAATATTTGCTCTACAAGTATGGCCAGGTATGGCCGGCCGTTGGCAACAAAACCATTTCTGTTGCCGCTCAATGCTGCTGCTATTGCAAATAAAGCTACAATGCAGTCAGTTTACACACACACTCACACACACACACACACACACACTATACACACAATAGCTGGCAACGTGTTTATTCACTGCATTTCCTGTTGATATTCAACAAATGCCTGGGCGCCACATTCGAAGCAGTCAAACGCTTCAATACAATTCGAACTCAGACACCGCCACCCCTCTCCCCTCACCGCCCTCCTTGGTACTCTTCCCGTTCTAACTGTGCATGTTGAGCGCACTGAGGAAACAGGAAGCGCATTTGCAGTGTTGCCTGACAGCAACGACGACGTCAGCGCCTGAAGTTGTGCATTGATTTTTGTCACTTATTGTTTGCAATTGATATGAGCACCGCCCCCTCCCACTCCCCCTCCTCCACCAGCATCGTTTATCTATTCAATGACTTTTCTCTCATTTGCCTATTTTAGTGGTCGCTTCATTTCATATTTTTAGTGTTTAAATTTTACTTAAATTTTCGTGTTTAAAACATGTAAATGAAGCAACCAAATAATTGAATCAACTTTCATTTTGCTTTTCTGCCTTGGTCCTTTTATTCGATGTAGTGCTTTTGTTAGTAAGCATAACAATTTCTTTAAAATATCCCATAAAAGAGCTGCAAATAATTGCCAAAACTACATTTAAAATATATATTATTTATCAAAGTAACAAAAGGGCAGCTGAGTCTTCACACGTCAGTGGATAATTAAAATGTAGTCATGAAATACATTGCAGTTTGATGAAATCATTCTGAACATGTATGTTTAATAAAGGATCCATTTTGTTGGATACATATACATATCTCCAAGACTGGGCCAAAGCAGGAACGGCGGTAGAAACACCTAGTCGTGCCATATTCTACGCTCTTCAAGAATAAGAAGAAAAAGCGGACTTTATGCATTAAAATTGATATAAAGGCTTGCGTCAATGCGCTCCTTTGTGACTTAAATGAAGCATTCGTTTTTTTTTGTATTAAAATATGAAATAGTGTGTATTGAACGCTTCTGAATCTACAATTATTTACTTTTACAAAGTGTTTGAACTGTGAACAGAATCCCTTTTTTACATAGTTGGTAAATAAGTACGTTTTTAAATCAACATATATTTTTTCATTCCAGTTAGGTTTTTAAATGAACTCGTTTTTTCTTCATACTCAGCCTGCTTATGCTACATTATGGGTTGGACCTCTCACAATTATTGCTGCCTCTTGCAGTCACTTTTTTGAACAAACTCTTATGCATTCTCTTTCTTAAATATCCTGTAAATTTGCAGTCTCATACTTAGCGATCTTATGTTGACTCTTTCTCTCAATATTACTCAAGTTATATAGTTACTGATTTTACATAGGTTCTTGCCAGCTAGCCGCCTATCTCCGCAACAATACTTGTACATATTGTCACTGCAGCTTAGTTTTATTAAAGCTACTAATCTGACTTCCTGTGGTGTCTTATTATTAGCTTTTATATGAATAATAAAATTTAAAGGTTTATAGTTTTTCTTTTGCAATTACAAGCAAACGGAATATTTTATTATACGCCTATTTTATACCTTTCCTTATCATGAATAGAAATATTCATATGTATGGTTTTTCAGTTACGATTTACCAATTATGTTAATTAGCTGGAACGAACAAACTATGTTTGCAAACAAATAAATGATGAATACTAGGGTCAGCGTTGGGCATTAACGTGCCACAGCAACTATGAACTGGGGAACAAGAAAATAAAAAAATAAAAATACTTCTCCGCATTCACGTTTTGCGGTTTTGTATGCTTCGCAAACAAACAATTGAATTGCGCGCAGTTCCCCATCCCCTCACACTCTCTTCACTTTTACATTTTCATTGTATTTTTAATTCCTTTCAACTGCATTTTTATACTCTGTACATGAAATGTACAAGAGTATATTAGGTTTGCGGGAGCTGAAAAATGTAACAGGCAGAAGGAGGCGTGGCAGACCCCACAAAGTATATATATTCTTGATCAGCATGACGAGACGAGTCGATCTAGCCCTGTCTGTCTGTCTGTCCGTCTGTCCGTCTGTCCGTCTGTCCGTCTGTCCGTCTGTCCGTCCGTATGAACACCTGGATCTCAGAGACTATAAGAGATAGAGACACCAAATTTTGCACGAAGATGCGTTATGTGTGTATTCTATACGAGTTTGTTTTATTTTTTTGATTTTCCCCCCCACTTCCCCCCTATGGGGGTTTTCCCGATTTTCCATTCGTATAATCGCCTATATCTCGGAGACTATAAGACCTAGGAACACCAAATTTTAGTCCCAGATGCCTTATGTGAATACGCAGAAAATGTATATTTTGGAATTCCCCTCCCTCCCCCCTCTACCCCGCAAATCGTAACTCCCGTAATTCTTGGAATTTCGAACTAAAATTTTGGAAATACCCCCAGTTAGTTATTATGTGTCCGTATGCCAAATTTCATTATGATAGACCGATTTAACAAGAAGTTATAGCCATAAATATATTTGCTGATGCAGCGCTGCTGCAGCGCTGCTCAAGCGCTGCCCGCGGCTGTTGTTGATGTTGCTGTTTGGTTGACTGCGAAAATGCTTACACAGACACGAATTGATGCGCATAGGCATACATACACTCACACAGACGCAATTGCTATGTAAATGTGCAATTATACACCCTTTACGTGAGTTCGAATACCGAGAGAGGTAAAATCGATCAAATTTTATTTTTTTTTTTTCTTAATTTTTTTTATTTTCTATAATTATTGTAAACATATGTACAGAGTATTTCAAAGTCGGGACACCCGACTTTAGCTTTTTTACTTGTTTTACATTCCTTTTCAGTTTATTTTTTATTATATATATATGCGAGAGAGTATTATAGTTTTAAGCTGCAGCACCTTATGCCGTTTTGTTGTTCTTGTGCATGTACATACTTACAAATAAACGAACATATATTGCAGATGGTTTTGGTAAAAAAGCAACAACCACAATTGTATCAGCAACTGAAAGTGCGTCAACACTGAACGCCATAAACTGTCGCAGTCACAACAATTGCACAAGTTTTGGTTTGTTTCTATATATGTATATACCTATAAATATATATATTTATGCGTTTGTAAGAGGCGCTGGCCGAAGCACAACGATACAAAATAAAAATAAAAACTAAAAATGTTTTATGCATGAACAAACCACAACAAAGCGCATAAATGTCATTTCCTTTTGACTAAAAGGATA